TCTCCTTCTGCTTCACGATCAAGTCCCAGAAATCCGTCCTCACAGGCGAGACCGAAGTATTCAAACATATCTGTTTGACCTCTTTGATAAACGTATTCCATGTCTCGACTCGGCCCCTGATAGTTTCCTTCTTCCCGTTTTCTGAATCCATGCTGATCAGATCGACCGTCTCGGCATTCGATAGAAAGACTCGAAGGCTCTTCAGACAATCAATCGCTTTTTCGTACAGTTGGTCTCCAAAGGAGGTGGCGATCAGCTTTAAAATCATGGCTTTCATCTGATCCACAGCCAAGGCTACCGTAACAAAACCAGCGCCCGCGGGACGAACTCCTTGTTGACTGTGAATAGTTGCAATTCTGACCATCGTCTGGAAATCTTTAACTGGATTTGAAGTGCCCACCTCACGGACCGCGCTCATCTCGAATGGAATCATGCCACTTGCGGCTAGATCATCGCCAGTGCCTCCAAAGGCAGATCCATTGCTGACCCCTCCACGCTCCCCAATGACCGAGCTCGTTGTTGCTGTGCCAAACATAGACTCTGATTTCTGACGCTTGGCGTTTTGATGGTTACCCGTCAGGCCATCAAAAAGACTGCTGGATGATTCACCCAAGCCTGTGCCGCTCACTTGCGCGATTCCGTCCTTGTCGTTTTCATTCTCTAGTGATGCTGCATATCCACGCTTGCCCTTGAGCGACTCCTCCACCTTTTTGATATCCCATAGGCGGATCAAATTATCAGATAATGACTGTGAGACGGTCAGCATCTCTGGTTTTGGCAATAGTTGCGTGATCAGAGAGGAGGGGATCTCTGGAAACTCCTTGCTCGGGTTCAGTGCTCTAAATTCCACCAACTGCATCTGTCTTTGTACTGCAGGATTGTATGTCGTCTCGGGTTTTAGATACTCCCTATAAAATGTTTAGAATGTTTAAGTTAAGACCTCAGATTATCGGTGAAGTGTTGAAAAACATATCTTGCATGCGGTCGGACACTTACTCTCCATCGTCTGCAGTCATCAGATCCATGGCAGAAATGAACTCTCTGCAGGCTTCTATGCTTTCTGGCGTGGCGAGCAGTCGATGCTTATCCAGCTTCTTGCCGTTCGTGGTCTGGATGTCGTCCAGAGATGCAAACAGATACCGCCGAACATCTTCACTGAACGCAACCTATAATTTCATAAAGAAAACGCTTGCACATCAATGATTCCTGATACCATATAGCTCACGAGTAATGAGTTTATAGCATAGACCGCACTGGCGTTACCTGTCCAAAGTAGAAGCACTTGTACTCGGCTGAAATTTCGGGCCAGAGGATACCTAATTTTGGTTCAGCGTCGTCGACTCGGACATATCGACATAGGGCATACGTATTCTTTTCATGAAGCGCGAATAAAAGCCCAGCAATCTCGACTTCGGCTTTTTGATCGCTTGGGGCAGCAAAGACAGAATATATGTTGCTCATGAGCCACTCCCTGCGAAACTAGATAGCAATACAATAAAGGATCAGCCATCTGGCCATGGAGTATCAAACTTGAATGACCTTTAGGAACAGATGAGGACACTTACAGTTGAAGCGGCGAAAAAGCCTAGGATTGTGAGGCTCTTAGCTGTCCGCAGCTTATATGCATCCAAATCGACAGCTCGAATAGGGACGATCGTTTTTCCATACATGTAGGCCTTTTCGAGGGCATCTGCCGGAACCTCTGTGTCCTCCTCCATGTCACCATCTGCCGTGTCCGCTGTGTGCTTCAGTTTGTACGTCCTTGACTGGTTCACATTTCCGGTATGACCATCTGGCAGATCATCTGCTACTGCACTCTCGGACAAGATTGAGTATTTCTTGGCATTGGGCAACTTGGCAACCATCGTACTTGGGTACATGTGGACTGGGATCGACAATGCGGCTTCTGGATGGGTCTCTGGGTCTCCAAGATCAAGGTTTCCCCGGTATACAGCAGTTGGTTTGACCTTTTTCGAGTAGAATTGGGAAGTGATATCCAAGGCCTCGTCGATCGAAAAGACGTCCCCAGAAGAGGCCTGACACAGATTCCTGAAGAGCTCTTCATTCTGAGCCTGCATCAATGATTTCAGCTTGCTCTCTTCATCATCGCCATCAAAATCGGTACCACTATAATACAATAGTGCAAGTCAGTTTTCAATCTTTTTCATTTAGCACTATTGGGCGACATGTTGCTGAGAAAAAGATTTTCTTACATAACATTGAGCTGGACATTATCGTCATTGAGGGCCGATGTGATCTGCTCCACTCCCTCCACATTGATCTCCGCGCAAGCATCTGTGAGGATATAGATCCTTTTCTCATACTTCAGCTTTTTGCAAAACTTTGTCATCATGTCCAGCGCAACGATCAATCCATCCATGCCTAAATCACGACAATTTGTACAATGTGTTAGCAAGTACGCGCTCACTCGCATGATGAAACGCAGTATTTGTCCGCACTGCACACTGTACTTACAGTCCCCCATAGTTTCTCCAAGTTTGACATCGTTTTGAACACCTTTCATGAGGTCCAGGGTGGCGACTCCCAAAGGCTGTAGTACATCCACAAACTGATAATCCGCCCCATTTTCGTCCACTGAGGCTAAATCGTTATTCGTAACTATGCATAGAAATATCAATGATATGTAAGCTAGCTGTACTTTTATACCATAACGTTTAGTGGTTAAAGTAGACGCACTTACTGTCGGAGCCGACTAGGACTACAGAGACGTAGACAGTCTTTCGATTCATGTGGACCTGGAAATCGAAACGGTCAAATTTAATTTGGTGGCAAAGGTCCAATTGGTTAGTGTGCGAAAATCAAGTTGGTATCGAGTCACTGGCGCGTCCTGTTGGGTCGTAATGAATGGAGACGCGAGGATAATAAAGCTCACCTTGTTGGCAAGGAGTTTCAGCAGGACCTTCTTTGTCTCTTCATGACGCGACACAGTAGAGCCTTCGCGTTTAGCCTTCATGGTTGGACCAACATCGAGAATGTAGATCGTTGCTTCTTTGCTGGCCATCCTGAATGCGTGTTTTTATGGCACTGAATCGATGAATTGAGTGTTGTGGGTCTTTCTTTGAAAGCTGGGGAGAGAAAGGAATTCCAGTGAAGGGGGGATTGAACGGTGGCAAATAAGATGTGAGGTTCATGAATCCATGTCGAGATACAGCTGTCACGAGAGAAAAAAAATGGTGGCAAACGGCAGATTTTATTTTATACATGGTACATTTGGAATGATAGTGAAATAAATGAGCAGTAGCGAGTGAATGGCATGTACGCGGCTCCGGCTTTAAACAATCGGGACAACGCTCTTGTCGTCCTGTTCCATAGCGCTGATGGGTGTGAGTGAACACATTTCAATGGCAGCTGGAAGACTTGTGGACTTCACAGGCACAGGGGAATTCAACTGTTCCGCCGGTTTATCCAGCTGGATGATGCTCTTTGGTTCCATTATGACTTGGCCCTTTGTTGGCAATGGAGGAGGTTGCTGCGCGAGTATATGTTGTCCCTCTTGCTGTACTAGAGCCTGTCGTCGATCGTCTATATGGTGTGTTTGCTGGCCGGGTGTAGGAGGCAGCTCCAATGAAGGCGTATGTGAGTGGCCGCGATCCTTGTGATAATACATGTCAACTCTTGAATAATCCAACGACGGCGTCTGCGAGTGGCCATATTCACGCGAGCGGTACGGGTGATGGCTCAGGTCCGAACGTCCATAGTCCATAGATCGCGAGTGCGAATGTCCATACTCTCTTGAACGAGGCGTAATCTCCATCCTGGATAGCCCAAGCGAGCCTGTGTGGGCATGTCCCCGAGACCTGTGCAAGACGGACTGCTGCGAGGCTTGCATTGGCAATTGCGAGAACGAGAAGGGCGTGTTTGCATTTGGAGAGCTGCGCTGCATAGACAATGCCTGGTGATTCGGGAGAGATAGCCCAGGTGTTGCAGCGTCAGAAGCTGGAGCAGTCGGGCTGCCATTGGTGGCTTGATCGGATAGGTTGCGGTCAAGCTGAGAAGACCCCTCTGGCATCGGTTCCTTGGGCTGATGCTCCTGGATGGTATCAAGATGGACCATCATTCCGTCAAGGTGCCGAGCGTCCTGCTCCTGCTGGGAACTGAACTCTATCATTTTTTGAAAATCCACAGGAGTGCTACTGTGTTTGCGCTGGTGCTCGAGCAACGAGTCGGAGCGCGCAAATTTCTTTCCGCAACCATCCATCGTGCACACGAAGGGCTTCTCGCCTGTATGGGTTCGCATGTGCCGAATCACTTGATGGTGCTTTTGGAAGGGCTTTTGTTTGACAACACAGTTCTCCCATTCGCATGTGTATTGAGACTAGATGGCCGAAATCCATTAAAAAGAATGATTAGCCATCAACCATTCGTTGCATATAGTAATGAAACAGCTCGAGGTTAAATGCGCGATTTGCTATGCACCCAAATACCATACCTTTCCAAGTCCGATATGTTGCTCCTCAACATGATTGACCAGCCATTCCAACCCTCCAAAGACCTGGTTACAGCTCCTCCAAAGGCAGGTCCATGTGCTCTGTGTGGTATATGACGGGGACATTTGTCTCTGAGACGACGCGACAGGCATCTGCGCACCTGAGCTTACCCTCACCATCGAACCTTCGCCTGGAGAGCTCTCCTCTACTGGCATTTCGCCCGAGTCTGAATCGCCCTCATCCACCTCAAACAGCCTGCGCTTCTTATATTCCGTGCCCAAGTCGGCGCGTGGAATGAGCGCGTCGTCCAATGAAGTGTTGTTCGTCTTGTTTAATTGGGCATCGAGCTGGTAGCACACGTCCTTGAGGTCTTTGTAATTCGCATTTCGAAGCTCGTATTTTGCATGCAATTCGCTGTACTCCTTTCTGGCACGCTCAAGCTCCGAAGTAGCTATTGCAAACTTGTATTCGAGATCGGTGTTACTGCGCTGCAGATTCTCGATCTTTTGGCAGAGGAAGCCATTCTTTTGGATCATTGCCGTCAGTTGGCCAGTCAACGAGTATTCGATCTCTGTCAGGGCACAAAAAAGAGTTAGCCCATGTTGGTGGCAACTTTATGTCACGTTTGTGCACAAGGTCCGTCTTGATTCGTAGGCCTTGCTTTTTTCCTTCTGCTCCCTTTTCCTCCTTCATCTCCACCTTCTCTTTTTCCTTTCAGGTGATAGGAAAAGGATTTTCCCGCCCCTTTTTCCGTCTTATGCGCCGCTAGGGACCCAGGATGGGCGCCTAGACCCGTAGCGGGATAGATTGTGCTCTTTTAACGATAGAATATCCTCGGCGGAGAGCCAGGCAGGTCTGGGCGCAGAGGGATTGATGGTGTGAGGCAGTAAGAAAATGATACACACCGGCAAAACTCACCTTTGAATTGTCTAGAGTGTGCGTCCCAGAACCGCCCGAGCGTTGAGTGGAGCTCCATGATGGAGTTGACCTCTTGGACTGTATTGCCGTTCGCGTCGCGCTCCCTCGTTTCCTTCATGGTGTCTGGCGCCAGTGTGAAAAGCAAATTGCTCGCTGACTGGCTGGGGCTGAAGAGGAATGCAAAAAAAATATAGGATAATAGGATAATGGTCAGCTTTGGACGCTATCAAATCGATGGAACCGAGAATAGGCTTTGAACTGGACATACATAAAAAATGTGTGTAATAACACAAAGGGCAATAATGAAGGCTTTGAGCACTGCCAGGCAGGATCGTGATAAAAAAAGACCAAGCTGGTTTGAGTGACAGAAAGGAAGGTGTGTAAACGTGTATGTGGACAATAAAATATACGACAAGCGCCCTTAG